AGAGAGAGAGAGAGAGAGAGAGAGAGAGAGAAAGATTAAGGTTTAGTCCCTAATCTTGTATTGGTGATTTGTTCTTCCTACTTTTTTCTTTTAACTCATTTGAACGATCTTTCCCTTTATTTAAGAGAGAAGTCTAATGATTCTGTCTTCTTACACTCACAGAAAACTATATGCTTCTTAGTTGCTCCAACGCTCTCTTTTACACCTGTTTACATGGAAATTTTAGATAGATATTAAACCACTCTGTCACGCCCTGCTCCCAAAATATAATAAATACAGGTCGCAGTCCCATCGGCATTGTATACACGAGGTTGGAAATATCCCTGCAAACACCCAAGCCTCTAGTAATGTGCACAATATCAACAACATATACACAGCACCATCAGATAAGCAATGGTAACAGATCAGATATTTCTGGAAATTTAAGTCCAAACATGAAATTATGAGTTAGGCTCGTAGGCCTCAAAAATACAATAAGATGTCTCAGCAGAAGATAGAGCAACTAAATCCCATAACAGCTGAGGTATACAAGTGAGAGCATGTGATACAAAATTAACCTACATTGAATGGAAAGAAACAAACTGCTGAGCTGAGCGGCAAGTGCATATGTGTCGCTAGCATACTGGCTGCAAGTCTGAGTTATCGATCCTGCGTAAGTGAATACTTGCAACGTAGAGTTGAGTGGCAAAAATTGACAGTATGTGTATCAATTTTTCTGGAGGTATAACTTTCTTTTCTTCTTTCGTGCTTGATTAAAATCAGGGACAAAATATTCCTTTTAGGTGGGTAGGATGTAACAGTCGGATATTTCATTTACATGCTAAGATGACACCTGGATGCAAAATCGATAGATCTGAACTGTTAGATGTTCGTAATTTTTCTTACTAACTAGAGTTGAAATCACCACTGAACCTAGTTGAGAAATGTGAGTGCCACATAGTTTCCTGATACCAAATGTGTCCGATCCAATATTGATGGAAGATCGATCCTTTTATGGTGATTGTACCTTCTTGGTAGGAAATCTAGTGACCTGGAGGAGTAAAAACAAGAATGTGGTTCCACAATCTTCTGCTAACACTAATTATAGAGTGATGGCCACGCAGCTCCATCTTAAGGTGGGGTGTTTAGAATAAGTATTAGACTAATTTAGTTTCTTGTGTTCCTATGCATTTTGTGTATCAGTTATCCTCTGCTAAACCTGCCATCCATAAATAGATTGGTCTGGTTCATTAATATGAACATTTCTCAGTTTTCTCTCACGCATGGATCTATTCAGTTTAAAAATAATTTGATTTCGAGTATCTACATTTAGGAGGGAATTTAGAAGTGTATGGGATTAAACACTTGAATTCTAAAAGTCATGAAAGTGCATACAAAGGATAAACAAAACAGAAACTCTCCTCACTCCGGAAAACAAAACACCACACTGCCTCACTACACAAAACACACCACAGAAAGAAAACCAGCACACATCCTACTAACCCAAAACTTTTCAAAAAGGCCCTGGGTGTTCATTCTGCAGCTCCAAAACCTTCAACCATGAAGATCTCGACGAAATCTTCTTCCACCACCTCTCAACATTCTTCCTTGACTCAAACAACCTCCGTCCCCTATCTGATCGGCTCATCAAATAATTTGAGTATGGGAGGTGTGAGAGATCAGCGAGCGTGAACTCATCACCACCCAAATACTCGCTCAAAGCCAATCTTTGATCGTAGATATCAAGAACTTTTGCGAGTTGGTCCTCATTTGTTTTTATTATAGCTTGATCAGGGTTTATACCCATGGGGACTGCGAAGGCGAGATGGAAGACTAAGGCAGAGCTTGGAGGTTCGAAATTTTCGCTTTCAGCTTGTAGCCATTGTTCGACAGAAGCTCTCTCAAGGATTCCGGTGCCTAGTAATTTTTTCGTTGAAGGTTCTGAAGTAGGGTAGTCTGCTATGTATCTGCATATTTCCCTGGAATCTACAGAAGAAATTTTTATAGTTTAATGTTAGTTTTTAGCTACTTAGTTAATAGTTTGTGTATATTGGAAGAAGATTAAGTAATTGAATTAGCAAGTTTTTAGTGTAGGTTTCTTACCGAGGAGCATTTTCTCCTCGTCTTTGAACGTCACTTGACCAGAGATATCCTGCAAGATAAAATGCAGGGTTGCTTCAGGATTACAACATTTTATCACATATGTATATGTTCATTAATTATGAATATGGATGTGGTTCAATGAGAAATGAGAAATCTATATCAATCTCTGACGAAAACGGTAATAAGCATCGATCAGATGAGAGGAAAGCATATACAAATAAATATCATATATAACAGGAACAGTTTAGACTCAAAAGTATTAAAGAACATGACACGAGAGTAGTCTGAAAAATTCAAATCAGAGTCCATTCAATGTGTTTGACACATCTGAAAATTTAGGAGAATTGGACATTTAGATAAGCGAATTTGGCTGCGCCTTACTAATCTAAAGCTAAAATAATGTCAATAGTCTAATTCACACGCATCTAGATATCAATACTTCTTGGTAGAGAAAACATTGATATCCATGTCCATATTCGATCAGATATACTTGTGGATGTAGTCACAGATAGTCATATCTACTTGCATTCCGAATTACAGAAGATGGCAATGGCAAGGACTTGCCTGTAGCCTGAGAAACTCAGGAACTTTACGCTTTCCTTTGTAGGTGTCGATTCGAATGAGTTGGAACTCAAGTTCCTTCTCAAAGAGGCAAGTTAGAACTCTAGCTACATCAGTTGATGTTGGCAATCCAAACACCTTGATGCTTCCCATCTTCTCTCTCACTCTTGGGCCCTTCAAATTTCTAAGTATCGAAGGTATATGTTAACTTGAAAATGAGGAAAGAAATATAAGATAACGATTGATTTTAAGAGAATTGCTAAAGAGTAAGGAAAAGTAAGTTTTCCGTACTCAAAGAGAAGATAAAGGGCAAAGAGAAAGGGAAAGTTAAAAGGCTAAAATCTTGAAGAATCATGAGCTCTAAAGCTAAAACCAACACAATATGTGTGGAGTAATCAATACTTTGAATGGCTTTTATATTCCTGTCAAATGTATCGTAATATAGGATTGAAAGCAGGATAACAAGTTCTTTTCCTTTTGGAGAACAAAAGAAAGTAATTTAAATGAATTGTGATTATTGTAGGGAATAAAATATGTGATGATCATATGCCTTTCTAGTACATGGTTGTGATTTGTCTTGGTCGAAAGTGAAATAAGGGCACTTCATAAAGGATACTGCAGTGTACAAACTGCTTTTTCAATAATAACCATCCAATATATTTAGACGGTTGTAATTCATTACTAATTTTAACTAATTGATCCTAGCGTAAAGGACCTTACTCTTGTATAAGTATGTAAGTAACAGACATCAATTATTAAACCAAGTTAGTAGATGTCAGGATGGCATGTGGGTTAATAGAACTCTTTTTCTACCAATTAGTTTTCTAGTTGATTATCTTAAGCATAATCGTTTTAGGCACAAAATATAGCAACTTAAAAACCAAAAGAAAATTAAACTAGTTTCATCTATAATCCTAGAAATTCTAAAGATATTAAGCTACTTATACTGTAAATTAAAAGCAAGAAATTAAAATCTAAAGTACAAAGATGAAAGAAAATAAATATAAACAATAAGGCAATAAATAAATCTCAATTACAAAGCAAGAAAATAAAATCTATACTACAAAGCATGACATAAAAGTAAGAAATAAAAATCTAATCTACAAAGCATAAAAAGATCTACACTACAAAGCATGAAAAAAACAAGAAATAAAATCCTAAATATGCAATTTTAAACAAGAAATTAAACGAGGGAAATGAAAACTTACATTTCAAGAGGTTAGTATTTTGTGAAGATAATCTTTATCACCAAAAGAGAAGAGCAAAATTTAAAAATGTGGCAAATACGTTTATTTATTACAAATTAAAGTTTACAATTTTGAAAGACATTCTCAATTAAAAGTAGCTCTCCTCTCCGGATGAAGTTTTTATAAAATTTTTTACATATCCCTTACCTTCATTCTCTGCCCCTATTTATACCCTACAGCAACGAACAATAGCCTTTAGATTAAACTTGGGCTTTAAGAACTCAAAACCACCATTGACAACTTCTATTACAAGTTAATTGATTAGCTAATCGAATAGCTAAATGATTAGTTCATCAATTAGGTTGTAATAGACTTATTTTTTTGAGTTGACTTCTTGACTCGACTCCTCTTGTGCTTTATTGGATTTTTCTAGGCTTCTTTTAAGCATCAAAAGAGATATATTGTGCTTCTTTGAGCTTTTATTTGATTAATTATTTATTTCCTATAAATTCATAAAAAATTGATATTAAGTATATATTTTAATAAAGTAGATAATGTTGGTACCAAAGTGCAATAAAATATAGCAATCAAATACCCCACACCCAAATTTTGCTAGTTCTCTAGTAAAGAAAGAAAAAAAAAGAAAAAAAAGAAAAATCATGACTCACTTTTACAGGAATCGTGGTTGTATTTAGGGGATATAACAAGCCTTTAAATCCCTGGGTTATGCTAAAGAATGAGTTGTAGTCTCGTGAGGATTTGTAGTGAATATACCCATAAAATTCAGTTAACTTATCAATTTAATGATTCAATATAGAATTAATTCACTTGATATTTTTAAACAATCTAATTAAAATTAGTTTTTAATCAATAAAACATTTTTATACATAGCTCTAAAGTAAATTTGTTAGAAAATCTTTTCATTGTAGTTATACAAAACCAAGCCTCATGATCAATTTATTTTCCAAGAATACACACACACACACACACACACACACACTCACACTCCTTGGTGATTTTTTCTACTTTACCGGGCTTTTTAGTGATTATGTAACGAGCTTTGGCTAATAGATCTCAAGCTAGGCTTAGGTTATTAAGTATAGAAATACTCCTTAGGCTTATTTTCTTAATAAACTTAGACTTAGTAACATAGAATCACCTTGGAGTTCAAGATTTTTATTGGTGCCCATTTTTTGCACTTCTTTTTTTCTAGGAGGGGGCCATGTTGGGGGGTGGGGCGGCGAGTAACTTGAGAAATATTTAGATCAAGAGGACTTGAAAAATTATTAACAACTTTAAGTTAAGCATCAAAAAAATTTCATTACTTTAAATAAAGTCCTATGTTAGATCTATGGATAGATATAACACATTAAAAAGTATTTCTTAAAAATTTATTTAGAGTTATCATAAAAGGCTAACTTGATGAGAATAAAATTAACTAATGGTTAGAAAATTTTAAAAATTATAAAGTAAATCAATTATTAATTAAGTCTATCAAGTTGATAAGTGATTGTTTGTTTTAAAGGAAAGAATAGAAGAATAAAAAAGGATAAAATAACGAGAAAAGAAAAGATAATTAGTCCCCGCCCCAACACTTAAATTCTGTATCGTCCTAAATGCAAATTATATGATGCAAAGAAGTAAAGCAATTAGGAAATGAAACACTCATATTTGTTCACTTGACCTTAAACAAGGATAAAATAATAAAATCTGCAATTATTTTCAATCTTGATGGATAAGAGGAGGGTATAGCCAAAAAAATTATTTCTCTTTCTTTTTTCCCTCTTTTTCCTTTTTTTTTTTGTTTTTTTTTTGTTGTGAAAGGTAGAAAAATAAACTTTCCAATTAGGACAAAAGCAAATTATTTATTATTCTTATTATTATGAGACACAGAGTAAACATGCAGAATAAATAGTTAAACATTAAAGTCTCACATTCTACATCAGCACCTACCTTGTTGATGGTAATTCTATCTCGAATTTTAAAAAAGTACAAAATGATAAACTATATACCGTGCTTAAATTTTACACTTTTCAAATTTTTTAATAATTTATGCACCATTTAATGACAGGTTGGTAGAGGGACACACATCTTGAATTTTCGATGCCGAGCAATCAGAAAGCTAATCTCAAATTTGAACTAGGTTTCTGGTGAATGAATATCTATCTTAACAAAATCAGCTCTTGTTTAAAAATTTATTTAAATCTAAGGTTCATGGTTGACACATGATAGACTAATTGTTCCATATCTTTTAGAAACCTCAACTCATCAGCAAAGAGTTCTTTGAAGCTAAGATCAGTAAAACTCAAGTCTAACTCAATGCATTTCTTCTTAAGGACTCATTCTGATTCTAACTCCTCTAATAGCTTATTTTTTTTCATAAAATTAAGATCTTCTCAAAACACAGGTCTGACTCAATATTCTTTGAATGAAGTTTACTATCAAGGGTTGATCTAATGGATCATTCGACCATTTCCCTAGATTGAAGATGTTGAGATCTACAATCATATTCCCAAAGAATAATTTTATTTGACTGGTTCTATAATTTATCAAAGTATTTAAAGTGGCTAAAAATGATCTTCCTAAAATGACTTGGATTTGACCATTAGGGTTAGAAATGAGCTGCTTTTTCAAGACTATGAAATTAATAGGAAGTATAAACTCTCCAACTTTAGTAAGAATATTATCTATCTCTCCCTTGGGTATCTTCATATATCTATTATCTAATTAGATAGTGCATCCAGTTAGTTTCAATTCTCCTATCCCTAACTGTTAATATACTGTAAAACCTTACAAATTTGAAAATATTGTGAAAATAGTATTAATGATTTTTAATATGATTGATACTATTTTGAGATGAATGAGTATGATTGTAATCGATTTGAGATCGATTAAGTACATATATATGAATATAATAGAGCAAACATGTACATTTGCACAAAAACCTGTCGACATAATGCATCTCTGGTCGGTCGACCGATGGAGAGCCA